TAACGTGATGGACAGACACCACTATATAACGTGATGGACAGACACCACTATATAACGTGATGGACAGACACCACTATATAACGTGATGGACAGACACCACTATATAACGTGGACAGACACCACTATATAACGTGATGGACAGACACCACTATATAACGTGATGGACAGACACCACTATATAACGTGATGGACAGACACCACTATATAACGTGATGGACAGACACCACTATATAACGTGATGGACAGACACCACTATGTAACGTGATGGACAGACACCACTATATAACGTGATGGACAGACACCACTATATAACGTGATGGACAGACACCACTATATAACGTGATGGACAGACACCACTATATAACGTGGACAGACACCACTATATAACGTGATGGACAGACACCACTATATAACGTGATGGACAGACACCACTATATAACGTGGACAGACACCACTATATAACGTGATGGACAGACACCACTATATAACGTGATGGACAGACACCACTATATAACGTGGACAGACACCACTATATAACGTGATGGACAGACACCACTATATAACGTGATGGACAGACACCACTATATAACGTGATGGACAGACACCACTATATAACGTGATGGACAGACACCACTATATAACGTGATGGACAGACACCACTATATAACGTGATGAACAGACACCACTATATAATGTGGACAGACACCACTATATAACGTGATGGACAGACACCACTATATAATGTGGACAGACACCACTATATAACGTGATGGACAGACACCACTATATAATGTGGACAGACACCACTATATAACGTGATGGACAGACACCACTATATAATGTGGACAGACACCACTATATAACGTGGACAGACACCACTATATAACGTGATGGACAGACACCACTATATAATGTGGACAGACACCACTATATAACGTGGACAGACACCACTATATAACGTGATGGACAGACACCACTATATAACGTGATGGACAGACACCACTATATAACGTGGACAGACACCACTATATAACGTGATGGACAGACACCACTATATAACGTGATGGACAGACACCACTATATAACGTGGACAGACACCACTATATAACGTGGACAGACACCACTATATAACGTGATGGACAGACACCACTATATAACGTGATGGACAGACACCACTATATAACGTGATGGACAGACACCACTATATAACGTGATGGACAGACACCACTATATAACGTGATGGACAGACACCACTATATAATGTGGACAGACACCACTATATAACGTGATGGACAGACACCACTATATAATGTGGACAGACACCACTATATAACGTGATGGGAAGTTGGTGTTTCAAGTTGAAGCAGAACCTTACTGTATTATATGTGTTTCAAGTTGAAGCAGGACCTTACTGTATTATATCTGCTTCAAGTTGAAGCAGGACCTTACTGTATTATATCTGCTTCAAGTTGAAGCAGAACCTTACTGTATTATATGTGTTTCAAGTTGAAGCAGAACCTTACTGTATTATATGTGTTTCAAGTTGAAGCAGAACCTTACTGTATTATATGTGTTTCAAGTTGAAGCAGAACCTTACTGTATTATATCTGCTTCAAGTTGAAGCAGAACCTTACTGTATTATATCTGCTTCAAGTTGAAGCAGGACCTTACTGTATTATATCTGCTTCAAGTTGAAGCAGGACCTTACTGTATTATATCTGCTTCAAGTTGAAGCAGAACCTTACTGTATTATATGTGTTTCAAGTTGAAGCAGAACCTTACTGTATTATATGTGTTTCAAGTTGAAGCAGAACCTTACTGTATTATATGTGTTTCAAGTTGAAGCAGAACCTTACTGTATTATATCTGCTTCAAGTTGAAGCAGGACCTTACGGTATTATATGTGCTTCAAGTTGAAGCGTGCTGGAAGCTCCTTTTAAAGACAGAATTATAACACGGAAACATTTTATAACACGGAAACATTTTATAACACGGAAACATTTTATAACACGGAAACATTTTATAACACGGAAACATTTTATAACACGGAAACATTTTATAACACGGAAACATTTTATAACACGGAAACATTTTATAACACGGAATCATTTTATAACACGGAAACAGAAAATATAAACCCTATTTAATTAATCATTAATTAATGACGACTTTATTTAATTAGTTTTGGATACTTACCAAGACAAGAAGACAAGCTTGTTGAATATCTGGGATGTATCTAAGTTGTATCCGATGTGTATCTGGGGTGTATCTGATGTGTATCTGGGGTGTATCAGATGGTTTGTGAGTCCAGAGATGTTAAATGACCAGCCGGTAGCGAAGTGAGTTGTGTAGACTCGGAGGAACATCGACCGTAAGCTTTAAAAGTCCGTCAGAGTCACCATTGACGTCACTCGTGCTTACTGACGCAGGTGAGATCACTAATGCCACCCCCCCCCCACCCCCGATCAGCAGGTCGATCATCCATGATACACAGAGTCACAGTAAGTGTCACAGAGTCACATTAAGTGACGCGCAAAATTTCTCCCAGAAAGGATGTTTGTTTTGGTCACTATCACAGCAGTGAATTGGTGAGTGTTATTTTAGACCTCATTCAAGCGTCACTCAAAAATATTTTCGCGAGTAGAAGTAGTTCTTGTCCGATTGCGGCGAAAACATTATTTTAAAAATACAACTGAAATTATATCAGATGAAAACATTTAGACCAAGGTCCAGTATCAGATTTAGATCAAGGTCCAGTATCTGATTTAGACCAAAGTCCAGTATCTGATTTAGACCAAGGCAAAAAAATAGCAAAATATATATGCAGAAAAAAGATAATTATACTTAATTTAGTGATTAATTAGAGTGAATAAAATAGTCTTTTAAGAGCAAAGTGGACAAATCCCGAATATAGATACAAATCGTTAGTGTTATCTGAGCACAGTATAAAGCAATCACAGTGGGGGTGACAAGGGGGGGGGGGGGAAGAGTTACATCAACTCAACGTTGCAATATAGATCTATATGCCTGAAAAAAACGGTTTGGTTGAGAATCGTAATAAGCTATATGTTAATCCATTTATGGGGGGGGGGGGGGTAAAAAAAATTAAATACATCCAGCAGAAAAAAAATATGAATACATATACACATGCGCAGGGGCGTAGCGAGGGGGGGGGGCGGGGGGTGCGGACCGCACCGGGTGACACCATTTAGGGGGGTGACACCGAGGCAAAAAATAGCAAAATATATAGAGAAAAACTTGAGGGGGGGGGGGTGCAAATCGAAAGTTTGAGGGAGGGGGGTGTGCAAATCAAAAGTTTGAGGGGGGGGGGGGTGCAAATCGAAAACTTGAAAGTTTGTCCCCGGGAAGGGTCGCTACGCCTCTGGGGGGTGACACCATTAAGTGCGGTACCGGGTGACACCCGACCTCGCTACGCCACTGCGAAAAAGGAAAAATTAAAGCACTGAAAAAAGTATTCATGAAAAACGTTTAAAAAGCAATCTTTTATGTAAAAATGCACTAAAAAGTAGAAAAACAATGAGATCGACTTTCTTTAAATATATAATTAAGCACTACGATTCAAGAAATAACTAGGAAAAGCGTGGTTTTCTTCCTTAAATATTACTAGATCTATTAGCAAAGGTTTCCAATAAATTTTCTTTATAGTTATTCAAATAGTTGTGTATTATTATATATTTTAAGAAAAACGTTTATTTTCTACTTTTTAGTGCATTTTTACATAAAAGCTTGTTATAAAAACGGTTGTTTTTTTGTTTTTTTTATTTAGATCTAGAATCTATTTTTTTTTTTTGTGAAATTTTGTATTAGGCCTAGGCTAGTATGAAGAGACAGTTTTTTAAAAACTTACGAAATTATGTGTCTGATTTGTTAAAAACAGGCAGTAGAAACTTTAGTGTGGATTCGTAGAATGTCGTCTGATCTTACAGAATAAAATATAAATATATTTCGAGATCTAGTTTCTTTTAGATTCAAAATTTTTGTAGAAATAATTGTCAAAATATTTAAAAAAATTGTTGCCTTACACTTACATTTAAACTGGGATGTCTGATTTAGAAAAAAAATCTAAATCCATAACTTTTACAGACTATGATGTCCTTGGTTTTGATATGGACTTCACACTCGCCCGATACAAACTCGTACCATTTTACAAAGTAAATAAATAAATAGATCTAGATCTAGTAAATAATAGAGGTCCAGACTCGAGGTCTAGCTAGATCTCTCTAGATCTAGTCTAGATTATAGATCTAGATTCTAGATAAATTTAGATCTAGATCTATTAGATTAGTCACTTCACTTAGTGGATTTATTTAGAATTTATCAAGTTGGTATGGTACATTTAAAAAAGATTCACCATGGTAGAGCACAGGCATGCAGCTAGATCTTGTATGAATTAATTTTTACTAATTCCCCATATTCTTTACAGATGGTATACAGAGGTGTTTGTAAATATTTAGTTGAAGAAAGAAATTACGAGCCATCAATTTTTCATGAGCTGGATCAGGATAAAGATTTAATGTAAGTCAGTTGAAAAGACAAAAATTTTATGAATGCAAAAACTAACAATGCATTTACACTTAAGACATCTTTACTAGACTTAACCTACTTAAATGTTTACTATACATGTTATGGGTATATATATATATATATATATATATATATACTATATATGGAACATCTTCCGAATCACTGGGCGCAAAACCACACCCCTTTTTACAAGCTTTTATTAAACTCGCTTCCTGATTAATTTTTTATGAATAAATTAAAATTTTGTCCTAATTAGTAGGCTGTTCATCAAACTATTCCGCGCTATTATATATGTGTCATCACGCTCATCACGTTCAATAGGTGCGCAATGTTTTTTAGTCATGTAACTCTGGTGTAAATAAAACGTATAAAGTACTAAAAACAATTTCATAAAAAATGTTTTAATAACAAGCTTTTATGTAATAATGCACTAAAAAGAAGGAAATAAATTATACACTACTATTTAAATAACTAAAGAAAAGCGTGGGTCTCTCCTAAACATTAGTAAAGGTATCCAATAGATACTAAAGTAACCCACGCTTTTCTTTATAGTTATTTAAATAGTAGTCTATAATTTATTTACTACTTTTTAGTGCATTATTACATAAAAGCTTGTTATTAAAACATTTTTTAATGAAATTTTTTTGTGTTCTAGAATTTTTTGTTTTAGTTCAAGTCAAAGGTCACGTTTAAAAAAATGTTCAGCAAGTGTGGATGCTAAAGTATACACATTCTGTGAAGAAAATGTTCCCGGATAAAAATAACTTTTGGCGGGGTTTGTGTTCTAGAAATGTATAGTAAACATGTCGTAAGTGTAAACACCATGTAAGGCATGTAATGTAGTCAAACTGGCCAGCTACTATGTAAAGGAGCGCTCTGACTGGGGTTCCAAACTAAAAGTTTAATGGTTTTGTCCTATCTGATCAGCTACAAAGGTCTGCTGGTGGACTTTGAAAAGGGAAATGTTCTAAAGCTGGATAAACAAGGTAGCATACTCAGGTGAGTTTTTTCTCAACTTAACTGGTGTATAGGTTAGGTGTACAGGTCAGGTGTACAGGCCTTACATCGGTGGTGTACAAGTTTAGTGTAGGCTTACATGGGTGGTGTACAAGTTTAGTTTAGGCTTACATGGTTGGTGTACAAGTTTAGTGTAGGCTTACATGGGTGGTGTACATGACTGGTGTGCATGAGTGGTGTTTGTGACGTGTGTACATGAATGTAGAACATGACTGGATTATATGACAGGTGTACATGCTAGGTGTACATGACTGGATTATATGCCAGGTGTACATGCTTGGTGTACATGACTGGATTATATGACAGGTGTACATGCTTGGTGTACATGACTGGATTATATGACAGGTGTACATGCTTGGTGTACATGACTGGATTATATGACAGGTGTACATGACTGGTGTACATGACTGGATTATATGACAGGTGTACATGCTAGGTGTACATGACTGGATTATATGCCAGGTGTACATGCTAGGTGTACATGACTGGATTATATGCCAGGTGTACATGCTAGGTGTACATGATTTCACCCCACCAGGGCCACCCATGGAACAAGGAAGCTGACCACAGCACAGCTGGAAGAAGCCTATGGTAGAGAGAAAAAGTTTTCACATTTCCAAACTTTCATGCAGGGCATGAAGTGTCTAGCAGGAAGTAGGTGCTTGTCTTGTTAGGGGACTTTGTTGCAGGTCAGAGGTCATGGTCACACAATGGTTAATTACACAGGTCAGAGGTCATGGTCACACAATGGTTAATTACACAATACAGGTCAGAGGTCATGGTCACACAATGGTTAATTACACAGGTCAGAGGTCATGGTCACACAATGGTTAATTACACAATACAGGTCAGAGGTCATGGTCACACAATAGTTAATTACACAATACAGGTCAGAGGTCATGGTAACACAATAGTTAATTACACAATACAGGTCAGAGGTCATGGTCACACAATAGTTAATTACACAATGTAACCTTTAATGTAAGCATAGAGCTGCTAACAGAATATGTTAACCTGCTTACCAAATGAAATGATTTCCTTGCTTACAGGATGGAGATTTTTTGAGAATTATTTTGATATCCCAGCACTGGTGGCATTTGCTAGAATAATTGACAGCATCAATGACAAGAAAACTGTGAGTTGTTAGTGGTCATTAGTCAACTGTCACAGGTTAACTGTCACACTCAGGATAGATACACATTGCTACAGATCTAATATTGTCTTTACATGATAGATACACATTGCTACAGATCTAATATTGTCTTTACATGATAGATACACATTGCTACAGATCTAATATTGTCTTTACATGATAGATACACATTGCTACAGATCTAATATTGTCTTTACATGATAGATACAGATTGCTACAGATCTAATATTGTCTTTACATGATAGATACAGATTGCTACAGATCTAATATTGTCTTTACATGATAGATACACATTGCTACAGATCTAATATTGTCTTTACATGATAGATACACATTGCTACAGATCTAATATTGTCTTTACATGATAGATACACATTGCTACAGATCTAATATTGTCTTTACATGATAGATACACATTGCTACAGATCTAATATTGTCTTTACATGATAGATACACATTGCTACAGATCTAATATTGTCTTTACATGATAGATACACATTGCTACAGATCTAATATTGTCTTTACATGATAGATACACATTGCTACAGATCTAATATTGTCTTTACATGATAGATACACATTGCTACAGATCTAATATTGTCTTTACATGATAGCCACACTGATTTTGATTTATTGTTAAATATTGTTCAAGGTGGTGACTGAGGACAAGAAAACATTTTTACATATATGGACAGATGTGTACGATGCTTTAGGAGATATGTACACACCACAACAGTTTAAAGGTAGGAAACTTGTACACACCACAGCAGTTTAGGAAACTTGTACACACCACAGCAGTTTAAAGGTAGGAAACTTGTACACACCACAACAGTTTAAAGGTAGGAAACTTGTACACACCACAGCAGTTTAAAGGTAGGAAACTTGTACACACCACAGCAGTTTAAAGGTAGGAAACTTGTACACACCACAACAGTTTAAAGGTAGGAAACTTGTACACACCACAGCAGTTTAAAGGTAGGAAACTTGTACACACCACAGCAGTTTAAAGGTAGGAAACTTGTACACACCACAGCAGTTTAAAGGTAGGAAACTTGTACACACCACAGCAGTTTAGGAAACTTGTACACACCACAGCAGTTTAAAGGTAGGAAACTTGTACACACCACAGCAGTTTAGGAAACTTGTACACACCACAGCAGTTTAAAGGTAGGAAACTTGTACACACCACAGCAGTTTAAAGGTAGGAAACTTGTACACACCACAACAGTTTAAAGGTAGGAAACTTGTACACACCACAGCAGTTTAAAGGTAGGAAACTTGTACACACCACAACAGTTTAAAGGTAGGAAACTTGTACACACCACAGCAGTTTAAAGGTAGGAAACTTGTACACACCACAGCAGTTTAAAGGTAGGAAACTTGTACACACCACAACAGTTTAAAGGTAGGAAACTTGTACACACCACAGCAGTTTAAAGGTAGGAAACTTGTACACACCACAACAGTTTAAAGGTAGGAAACTTGTACACACCACAGCAGTTTAGCCCTTTGAATCTTTAGCTCCTGAACCTAGAATCTCCATGCCCCTGAGCTCCTGAGTTAAATGTACACACAACAGACTCAATAAAAAAAAATAAAAACTACAAATATAACAAGTTATATTTTATTATTTTAATTAATTTTAGTACATGACTTATTGCCAGTATTTCAACTTAGTAATCCGGTTGTCCGTGTAAGTAGACCTTTGATTTAGACAAAGGTAGATGTAGACAAAGGTAGATGTAGACAAAGGTAGATGTAGACAAAGGTAGATGTAGACAAAGGTAGATGTAGACAAAGGTAGATGTAGACAAAGGTAGATGTAGACAAAGGTAGATGTAGACAAAGGTAGATGTAGACAAAGGTAGATGTAGACAAAGGTAGATGTAGACAAAGGTAGATGTAGACAAAGGTAGATGTAGACAAAGGTAGATGTAGACAAAGGTAGATGTAGACAAAGGTAGATGTAGACAAAGGTAGATGTAGACAAAGGTAGATGTAGACAAAGGTAGATGTAGACAAAGGTAGATGTAGACAAAGGTAGATGTAGACAAAGGTAGATGTAGACAAAGGTAGATGTAGACAAAGGTAGATGTAGACAAAGAAGGAATGTTTGTTGTCTGAATTTTAAAAATCTGTCATTGTAAATTTTAAATGATGAACAGAACAAAAAATTTAGTTTTTTGGCCATGACAGGAACTTACCACAGGTCGTACGGTACTAGTTACATACTTTTTTAATATCACAGTTTATCTACAGGTCGTACGGTACTAGTTACATACTTTTTTAATATCACAGTTTATCTACAGGTCGTACGGTACTAGTTACATACTTTTTTAATATCACAGTTTATCTACAGGTCGTACGGTACTAGTTACATACTTTTTTAATATCACAGTTTATCTACAGGTCGTACGGTACTAGTTACATACTTTTTTAATATCACAGTTTATCTACAGGTCGTACGGTACTAGTTACATACTTTTTTAATATCACAGTTTATCTACAGGTCGTACGGTACTAGTTACATACTTTTTTAATATCACAGTTTATCTACAGGTCGTACGGTACTAGTTACATACTTTTTTAATATCACAGTTTATCTACAGGTCGTACGGTACTAGTTACATACTTTTTTAATATCACAATTTATCTACAGGTCGTACGGTACTAGTTACATACTTTTTTAATATCACAGTTTATCTACAGGTCGTACGGTACTAGTTACATACTTTTTTAATATCACAGTTTATCTACAGGTCGTACGGTACTAGTTACATACTTTTTTAATATCACAGTTTATCTACAGGTCGTACGGTACTAGTTACATACTTTTTTAATATCACAGTTTATCTACAGGTCGTACGGTACTAGTTACATACTTTTTTAATATCACAGTTTATCTACAGGTCGTACGGTACTAGTTACATACTTTTTTAATATCACAGTTTATCTACAGGTCGTACGGTACTAGTTACATACTTTTTTAATATCACAGTTTATCTACAGGTCGTACGGTACTAGTTACATACTTTTTTAATATCACAGTTTATCTACAGGTCGTACGGTACTAGCTACATACTTTTTTAATATCACAGTTTATCTACAGGTCGTACGGTACTAGCTACATACTTTTTTACTATCACAGTTTATCTACAGGTCGTACGGTACTAGTTACATACTTTTTTAATATCACAGTTTATCTACAGGTCGTACGGTACTAGCTACATACTTTTTTAATATCACAGTTTATCTACGTACTGCCGATCTGAGGTAAAGTGTCTAATACCACTTTATCTAGTTATGTCAAATGGCCATAAAAACCGCAGATTTTGCCCACGTTGCCCAAATATAGTAGCCTTTCACTTCATAATTCCTATTATTGATAACATATTTATAGGTTATAGTTGTGAAAAACGACTGTTAAAATACTAAGGGGGAAAATTCAAGATTAGCATGGTTATCTATTTAGCCTACATAGTTGTATTTTATAATTATAAGCAAGTGTCTTCTTTGTTCTTAATTTTATTGGTGTAAGGGATCCCCTCCAACACAATTAAGTATACATGTCAACTGGTTGTGCGCCATTGAGGCCATTGACTCCGATTTCAGCCTGCTTTCCTTTTTGAATTTGCTTCCATAGCCTTTGTCCAACCAAGAACAAACTACAAGGCAGAAGTTGTTTAATTTTGGAGTTGACTCTCCTAGAAGAGTGGCTGTCCCCAGCTAACAAGCTTCATCTGCCCAATGGCAGTGTATTTTACAAGTGTATTTTGGTGGAGCCCTACCATAATTTTTTTTTTAAAAGCAGCAATTTTGACAGATTGTGAACCCCTCCACTCTTCTGATTAAACATGTGCTTCAAATGTACATGTTATGAGCATACATGTTATTAAAATTCAAAAAAGCGATTGTTCCCCTTCATTTTGATATTGGGTCTGTTCTCTATGTATGTGTGTTTGTGTTGAATTCAAAAGATTGTGTTTGTGACATATACTTTTATAGATATGACCTCTCAAACATGGCACCTTTTAGGGTCAAAAACCAACTTTTTAAAATGTCATACATTTTTACTGCTTGAGATGTATGAACAAATTTATTACCCACCATCTTGACCTAGCAACTTATAAAAAAGCTCTGGGACCGTTGTAAAAAAATCAGTTTGACACCCCTACCTTATAGATACCTCGGGGCGTGGAGATTAAAGACTCCGACTGATCAAGCCGTAGCGCTGGTTCAAAGGGTTAAAGGTAGGAGACTTGTCCACACTGCAATTGATAAGCTCTACTTGTAATAAATGTTCAGTTGTTTGTTGACCTTTTGACTACTTGTAATAAATGTTCAGTTGTTTGTTGACCTTTTGACAACCCCAGCAAACCAAGGCAACTTTTTCCCAAACATGAAGGCGGACGTTGGGGCGTACATCGACCTGGTGAGCCCCGCTATCAAACAGTGGCTGACAGCTCTCAGACAGGACAACAGGAAGATTTTCTTGTTGACGTCATCCTTTCCTGACTTTGCTACACACATCATGGAGTATTCATTTGGGTAGGCTGATAGCATTGTCTGTTGTGTGGTCCACTCTAGCGTTGTTGTGTGGTCCACTTTAGCGTTGTGTGTTGTGTGGTCCACTCTAACATTGTCTGTTGTGTGGTCCACTCTAGCGTTGTCTGTTGTGTGGTCCACTCTAGCGTTGTGTGTTGTGTGGTCCACTCTAGTGTTGTGTGGTCCACTCTAGTGTTGTGTGGTCCACTCTAGCATTGTCTGTTGTGTGGTCCACTCTAGTGTTGTGTGGTCCACTCTAACATTGTTGTGTGGTCCACTCTAGCATTGTTGTGTGGTCCACTCTAGCATTGTTGTGTGTTGTGTGGTCCACTTTAGTGTTGTGTGGTCCACTCTAGTGTTGTGTGGTCCACTCTAGTGTTGTGTGGTCCACTCTAACATTGTCTGTTGTGTGGTCCACTCTAGCGTTGTCTGTTGTGTGGTTCACTCTTGCGTGTTGTGTGGTCCACTCTAGTGTTGTGTGTTGTGTGGTCCACTCTAGTGTTGTGTGGTCCACTCTAGTGTTGTGTGGTCCACTCTAGCATTGTTGTGTGTTGTGTGGTCCACTTTAGCGTTGTGTGTTGTGTGGTCCACTCTAGTGTTGTGTGGTCCACTCTAGCATTGTCTGTTGTGTGGTCCACTCTAGTGTTGTGTGGTCCACTCTAACATTGTTGTGTGGTCCACTCTAGTGTTGTGTGGTCCACTCTAGCATTGTCTGTTGTGTGGTCCACTCTAGTGTTGTGTGGTCCACTCTAACATTGTTGTGTGGTCCACTCTAGTGTTGTGTGGTCCACTCTAGTGATGTGTGGTCCACTCTAGCATTGTCTGTTGTGTGGTCCACTCTAGCGTTGTGTGTTGTGTGGTCCACTCTAACATTGTCTGTTGTGTGGTCCACTCTAGTGTTGTGTGGTCCACTCTAACATTGTCTGTTGTGTGGTCCACTCTTGCGTGTTGTGTGGTCCACTCTAGTGTTGTGTGGTCCACTCTAGTGTTGTGTGGTCCACTCTAGTGTTGTGTGGTCCACTCTAACATTGTCTGTTGTGTGGTCCACTCTAGCGTTGTCTGTTGTGTGGTTCACTCTTGCGTGTTGTGTGGTCCACTCTAGTGTTGTGTGGTCCACTCTAGTGTTGTGTGGTCCACTCTAGTGTTGTGTGGTCCACTCTAGTGTTGTGTGGTCCACTCTAGTGTTGTGTGGTCCACTCTAGTGTTGTGTGGTCCACTCTAGTGTTGTGTGGTCCACTCTAGTGTTGTGTGGTCCACTCTAGTGTTGTGTGGTCCACTCTAGTGTTGTGTGGTCCACTCTAGTGTTGTGTGGTCCACTCTAGCATTGTCTGTTGTCCACTTTTTGTCCTTACCCTGCCTTTATGTCCTACTTTGTCCTTAGTCCTACCTTATGTCCTACTTTGTCCTTAGTCCTGACTGGAGGTCCTACTTTGACCTGGTTGTCTTTGGTGGAAGAAAGCCCAGATTTTTTACAGAGGTGGAGCCTTTTATGGAAGTTGGTAGGCATTCATTGCACTTAGTACCTCATTTGATAGGCATTCATTGTACTCAGTACCTCATTTGGTAGGCATTCATTGCACTCAGTACATCATTTGGTAGGCTTTTATTGTACTTAGTACATTATTTAATTGACAATCTTTCCAAAGATGTTATTGTTGAACACAATTAAGTGTTTAAAATTGTTTTTTTTTGTTCAAGAAAATTTGGAAATTGGTCAAGAGACAAAATATCTGCAGGAAGGCGGAGAGTATTGCCATGGCAACCACCTGCAGTTAATGACATTTTTTAAGAAAATTACTGGAAAAACTTATCCTAAGGTAGACATGCATTTCTTTTGAGAAATCATTCAGGTAAATTTACATCATGTATCAAACACAAGTAACCCTTTTCAGTCCAGATTAATTTCATTAGTGGTACAGTCTGATGTGTCTGTTTGCACCCGTACTATGTAGAATACAATATTCATTTACACATCGTAACTAAAGTAGAGCTGGTAACGTTTTTAAATTGAAAAAGAAAGTAGCTCCAGTGACTTAGGTTAATTTTTAACACTCAGAATAACTTTTTGTTGAAATAATATTAGATTTAGCACTTTGTTTATATTTTCTAGGATTGTCATCTTTATTTATTATTTGTGAATTATTTATATTAAGTTATTTAACCTCATACACAATATAACTTTTACGCTTTTTCTGTATAATGCTTTTTTTTTCAACTTGTGTGGATATTTTAAAATAATTTGTTTTTAAAAGTCTCATGACTAACTTTATTGTAAAATAATTTTTATTCCTTCACTGTAAAACATGACAGCATATTAACATGAAATATGGGGCGTTAACTCCTATTTCAGCCTGCTTTTCTTTATGGACCATAGCCTTTTACCAACCAAGAACAAACTACAAGGCAGCAGTTGGTTTCACTCCTAGTTTGGTTGCTTTCCCAAGCTAAGGATCCTCTTTGCCCAGAAATCCTAACTCAGGACTTTAGTAGTTGGCAATCATATGCTATCCCGCCTTATAACCCATCACTAACTTGATCTAACCACTTAATATATCAACTAGATGTATCCACTTGATGTATCCACTTGATTTATCCACTGGATGTATCCACTGGATGTATCCACTTGATGTATCCACTGGATGTATCCACTGGATGTATCCACTTGATGTATCCACTTGATGTATCCACTGGATGTATCTACTGGATGTATCCACTTGATGTATCCACTTGATGTATCCACTGGATGTATCCACTGGATGTATCCACTTGATGTATCCACTGGATGTATCTACTGGATGTATCCACTGGATGTATCCACTGGATGTATCCACTGGATGTATCCACTGGATGTATCCACTGGATGTATCCACTTGATGTATCCACTGGATGTATCCACTGGATGTATCCACTGGATGTATCCACTGGATGTATCCACTGGATGTATCCACTTGATGTATCTACTGGATGTATCCACTTGATGTATCCACTTGATGTATCTACTGGATGTATCCACTGGATGTATCCACTTGATGTATCTACTGGATGTATCCACTGGATGTATCCACTGGATGTATCCACTGGATGTATCCACTGGATGTATCCACTTGATGTATCTACTGGATGTATCCACTGGATGTATCCACTGGATGTATCCACTGGATGTATCCACTGGATGTATCCACTGGATGTATCCACTTGATGTATCCACTTGATGTATCCACTTGATGTATCCACTTGATGTATCCACTGGATGATGATCAGAACATGTCCAGCTCATGTGTCTACTCTCTTTTAGGTTGTCTACTCTCTCTTAGGTTGTCTACTCTCTCTTAGGTTGTCTACTCTCTCTTAGGTTGTCTACTCTCTCTCTTAGGTTGTCTACTCTCTCTTAGGTTGTCTACTCTCTCTCTTAGGTTGTCTACTCTCTCTAAGGTTGTCTACTCTCTCTTAGGTTGTCTACTCTCTCTTAGGTTGTCTACTCTCTCTTAGGTTGTCTACTCTCTCTTAGGTTGTCTACTCTCTCTTAGGTTGTCTACTCTCTCTCTTAGGTTGTCTACTCTCTCTTAGGTTGTCTACTCTCTCTTAGGTTGTCTACTCTCTCTCTTAGGTTGTCTACTCTCTTTTAGGTTGTCTACTCTCTCTTAGGTTGTCTACTCTCTCTTAGGTTGTCTACTCTCTCTTAGGTTGTCTACTCTCTCTTGGGTTGTCTACTCTCTCTTAGGTTGTCTACTCTCTCTTAGGTTGTCTACTCTCTCTCTCTTAGGTTGTCTACTCTCTCTCTTAGGTTGTCTACTCTCTCTTAGGTTGTCTACTCTCTCTTAGGTTGTCTACTCTCTTAGGTTGTCTACTCTCTCTTAGGTTGTCTACTCTCTCTCTTAGGTTGTCTACTCTCTCTCTTAGGTTGTCTACTCTCTCTTAGGTTGTCTACTCTCTCTTAGGTTGTCTACTCTCTTAGGTTGTCTACTCTCTCTCTTAGGTTGTCTACTCTCTCTTAGGTTGTCTACTCTCTCTTAGGTTGTCTACTCTCTCTCTTAGGTTGTCTACTCTCTCTCTTAGATTGTCTACTCTCTCTTAGGTTGTCTACTCTCTCTTAGGTTGTCTACTCTCTCTCTTAGGTTGTCTACTCTCTCTTAGGTTGTCTACTCTCTCTCTTAGGTTGTCTACTCTCTCTCTTAGGTTGTCTACTCTCTCATAGGTTGTCTACTCTCTCTAAGGTTGTCTACTCTCTCTTAGGTTGTCTACTCTCTCTTAGGTTGTCTACTCTCTCTTAGGTTGTCTACTCTCTCTTACGTTGTCTACTCTCTCTTAGGTTGTCTACTCTCTCTCTTAGGTTGTCTACTCTCTTAGGTTGTCTACTCTCTCTCTTAGGTTGTCTACTCTCTCTCTTAGGTTGTCTACTCTCTCTCTTAGGTTGTCTACTCTCTCTTAGGTTGTCTACTCTCTCTCTTAGGTTGTCTACTCTCTCTCTTAGGTTGTCTACTCTCTCATAGGTTGTCTACTCTCTCTAAGGTTGTCTACTCTCTCTTAGGTTGTCTACTCTCTCTTAGGTTGTCTACTCTCTCTTAGGTTGTCTACTCTCTCTTACGTTGTCTACTCTCTCTTAGGTTGTCTACTCTCTCTCTTAGGTTGTCTACTCTCTTAGGTTGTCTACTCTCTCTCTTAGGTTGTCTACTCTCTCTCTTAGGTTGTCTACTCTCTCTCTTAGGTTGTCTACTCTCTCTCTTAGGTTGTCTACTCTCTCTCTTAGGTTGTCTACTCTCTCTTAGGTTGTCTACTCTCTCTCTTAGGTTGTCTACTCTCTCTTAGGTTGTCTACTCTCTCTCTTAGGTTGTCTACTCTCTCTCTTAGGTTGTCTACTCTCTCTCTTAGGTTGTCTACTCTCTCTCTTAGGTTGTCTACTCTCGCTTAGGTTGTCTACTCTCTCTCTTAGGTTGTCTACTCTCTCTTAGGTTGTCTACTCTCTCTTAGGTTGTCTACTCTCTCTCTTAGGTTGTCTACTCTCGCTTAGGTTGTCTACTCTCTCTTAGGTTGTCTACTCTCTCTTAGGTTGTCTACTCTCTCTCTTAGGTTGTCTACTCTCTCTCTTAGGTTGTCTACTCTCTCTCTTAGGTTGTCTACTCTCTCTTAGGTTGTCTACTCTCTCTCTTAGGTTGTCTACTCTCTCTTAGGTTGTCTACTCTCTCTCTTAGGTTGTCTACTCTCTCTCTTAGGTTGTCTACTCTCTCTCTTAAGTTGTCTACTCTCTCTTAGGTTGTCTACTCTCTCTCTTAGGTTGTCTACTCTCTCTCTTAGGTTGTCTACTCTCTCTCAGGTTGTCTACTCTGTCTCTTAGGTTGTCTACTCTCTCTCTCTTAGGTTGTCTACTCTCTCTCTTAGGTTGTCTACTCTCTTAGGTTGTCTACTCTCTCTTAGGTTGTCTACTTTGGTGACAACCTTTGGGCTGACGCCTGGCCGTCCAAGACCTACGGCCAGTGGGACACAGTGCTGGTCCTGGAGGAAATGGATGCTGAGGGTTACGCTGTATCTGATGGCACAGTCACTGAGCAAGAGGGGGCATTTACTAAAGGGTTTAAGGTGAGTGTTGACCTGTAGGTTTAAGGTGAGTGTTGACCTGTAGGTTTAAGGTGAATGTTGACCTGTGGGTTTAAGGTGAGTGTTGACCTGTGGGTTTAAGGTGAGTGTTGACCTGTGGGTTTAAGGTGAGTGTTGACCTGTGGGTTTAAGGTGAGTGTTGACCTGTGGGTGGTGAGTGTTGACCTGTAGGTTTAAGGTGAATGTTGACCTGTGGGTTTAAGGTGAGTGTTGACCTGTGGGGTTAAGGTGAGTGTTGACCTGTGGGTGGTGAGTGTTGACCTGTGGGTTTAAGGTGAGTGTTGACCTGTGGGTTTAAGGTGAGTGTTGACCTGTAGGTTTAAGGTGAGTGTTGACCTGTGGGTTTAAGGTGACCTGTAGGTTTAAGGTGAGTGTTGACCTGTGGGTGGTGAGTGTTGACCTGTGGGTTTAAGGTGAGTGTTGACCTGTGGGTTTAAGGTGAGTGTTGACCTGTGGGTTTAAGGTGAGTGTTGACCTGTGGGTGGTGAGTGTTGACCTGTAGGTTTAAGGTGAATGTTGACCTGTGGGTTTAAGGTGAGTGTTGACCTGTGGGGTTTAAGGTGAGTGTTGACCTGTGGGTTTAAGGTGAGTGTTGACCTGTGGGTTTAAGGTGAGTGTTGACCTGTGGGTTTAAGGTGAGTGTTGACCTGTGGGTTTAAGGTGAGTGTTGACCTGTGGGTTTAAGGTGAGTGTTGACCTGTGGGTTTAAGGTGAGTGTTGACCTGTGGGTTTAAGGTGACCTGTAGGTTTAAGGTGAGTGTTGACCTGTAGGTTTAAGGTGAGTGTTGACCTGTGGGTTTAAGGTGAGTGTTGACCTGTGGGTTTAAGGTGAGTGTTGACCTGTGGGTTTAAGGTGAGTGTTGACCTGTGGGTTTAAGGTGAGTGTTGACCTGTGGGTTTAAGGTGAGTGTTGACCTGTGGGTTTAAGGTGAGTGTTGACCTGTGGGTTTAAGGTGAGTGTTGACCTGTGGGTTTAAGGTGAGTGTTGACCTGTGGGTTTAAGGTGAGTGTTGACCTGTGGGTTTAAGGTGAGTGTTGACCTGTGGGTTTAAGGTGAGTGTTGACCTGTGGGTTTAAGGTGAGTGTTGACCTGTGGGTTTAAGGTGAGTGTTGACCTGTGGGTTTAAGGTGAGTGTTGACCTGTGGGTTTAAGGTGAGTGTTGACCTGTGGGTGGTGAGTGTTGACCTGTGGGTTTAAGGTGAGTGTTGACCTGTAGGTTTAAGGTGAGTGTTGAGCTGTGGGTTTAAGGTGAGTGTTGACCTGTGGGTTTAAGGTGAGTGTTGAGCTGTGGGTTTAAGGTGAGTGTTGACCTGTAGGTTTAAGGTGAGTGTTGACCTGTAGGTTTAAGGTGAGTGTTGAGCTGTGGGTTTAAGGTGAGTGTTGACCTGTGGGTTTAAGGTGAGTGTTGACCTGTGGGTTTAAGGTGAGTGTTGACCTGTGGGTTTAAGGTGACCTGTAGGTTTAAGGTGAGTGTTGACCTGTGGGTGGTGAGTGTTGACCTGTGGGTTTAAGGTGAGTGTTGAGCTGTGGGTTTAAGGTGAGTGTTGACCTGTGGGTTTAAGGTGAGTGTTGACCTGTGGGTTTAAGGTGAGTGTTGACCTGTGGGTTTAAGGTGACCTGTAGGTTTAAGGTGAGTGTTGAGCTGTGGGTTTAAGGTGAGTGTTGACCTGTGGGTTTAAGGTGAGTGTTGACCTGTGGGTTTAAGGTGAGTGTTGACCTGTGGGTTTAAGGTGAGTGTTGACCTGTGGGTTTAAGGTGAGTGTTGACCTGTGGGTTTAAGGTGAGTGTTGACCTGTGGGTTTAAGGTGAGTGTTGACCTGTGGGTGGTGAGTGTTGACCTGTGGGTTTAAGGTGAGTGTTGACCTGTGGGTTTAAGGTGAGTGTTGACCTGTGGGTGGTGAGTGTTGACCTGTGGGTTTAAGGTGACCTGTAGGTTTAAGGTGAGTGTTGACCTGTGGGTGGTGAGTGTTGACCTGTGGGTTTAAGGTGACCTGTAGGTTTAAGGTGAGTGTTGACCTGTGGGTTTAAGGTGACCTGTAGGTTTAAGGTGAGTGTTGACCTGTGGGTGGTGAGTGTTGACCTGTGGGTTTAAGGTGACCTGTAGGTTTAAGGTGAGTGTTGACCTGTGGGTGGTGAGTGTTGACCTGTGGGTTTAAGGTGACCTGTAGGTTTAAGGTGAGTGTTGACCTGTGGGTTTAAGGTGACCTGTAGGTTTAAGGTGAGTGTTGACCTGTGGGTTTAAGGTGACCTGTAGGTTTAAGGTGAGTGTTGACCTGTGGGTGGTGAGTGTTGACCTGTGGGTTTAAGGTGAGTGTTGACCTGTGGGTGGTGAGTGTTGACCTGTGGGTTTAAGGTGAGTGTTGACCTGTGGGTTTAAGGTGAGTGTTGACCTGTGGGTGGTGAGTGTTGACCTGTGGGTTTAAGGTGAGTGTTGACCTGTGGGTTTAAGGTGAGTGTTGAGCTGTGGGTTTAAGGTGAGTGTTGAGCTGTGGGTTTAAGGTGAGTGTTGACCTGTGGGTTTAAGGTGAGTGTTGACCTGTGGGTTTAAGGTGAGTGTTGAGCTGTAGGTTTAAGGTGAGTGTTGACCTGTGGGTTTAAGGTGAGTGTTGAGCTGTGGGTTTAAGGTGAGTGTTGACCTGTGGGTTTAAGGTGACCTGTAGGTTTAAGGTGAGTGTTGACCTGTGGGTTTAAGGTGAGTGTTGACCTGTGGGTTTAAGGTGAGTGTTGAGCTGTGGGTTTAAGGTGAGTGTTGACCTGTGGGTTTAAGGTGAGTGTTGAGCTGTGGGTTTAAGGTGAGTGTTGACCTGTGGGTTTAAGGTGAGTGTTGACCTGTGGGTTTAAGGTGAGTGTTGACCTGTGGGTTTAAGGTGAGTGTTGACCTGTGGGTTTAAGGTGAGTGTTTAAGGTGAGTCACGACCTGTGGGTTTAAGGTGAGTGTTGAGCTGTGGGTTTAAGGTGAGTGTTGACCTGTGGGTTTAAGGTGAGTGTTTAAGGTGAGTGTTGAGCTGTGGGTTTAAGGTGAGTGTTGACCTGTGGGTTTAAGGTGAGTGTTGACCTGTGGGTTTAAGGTGAGTGTTGAGCTGTGGGTTTAAGGTGAATGTTGACCTGTGGGTTTAAGGTGAGTGTTGACCTGTGGGTTTAAGGTGAGTGTTGACCTGTGGGTTTAAGGTGAGTGTTGACCTGTGGGTTTAAGGTGAGTGTTTAAGGTGAGTGTTGAGCTGTGGGTTTAAGGTGAGTGTTGACCTGTGGGTTTAAGGTGAGTGTTGACCTGTGGGTTTAAGGTGAGTGTTGAGCTGTGGGTTTAAGGTGAGTGTTGACCTGTGGGTTTAAGGTGAGTGTTGACCTATGGGTTTAAGGTGAGTTTTAACAAATGGGTTTAAGGTTACTATTGGCCAGTGGTTTAATAGCTTAATAATTCACAAATAAGTAATAATTTTTATCACAGGAAATATAAAAACAAACCACATCTTTTACTATTAATTCAATTTTTAAAAATGTAAATTTATAGAAAAAAATTCAATGTAGTCTTCAGAACTACTTTCTTTTTCCACAACACAGTAAAACATGAAATAAATGTAAATAAAACATTTCCCACTTGTTGGCAGCAAGAGTTCTGCTACTACATGTGATAAATGTACTCAATCCAGGATGACTTGTGATCAGACTGTAAAGACTATCTTGTTAAATGAGCATTGTACTAGCTGCTAACAGTAAACTTTTCATGGCAGCACAGCTCGCTAGTGACCGCTCAAGAAATCCAACTGATGGTCAGTGATTTCTGGGGCTCTGTTTTTATTGACAACCTGAAGGACAACCAGGTCTTGGAGGAGAAACAGATGAACACAGCCTTTGGTAGCCTGATCTCCACATACGCTGATGTTTGTGTGCCCAGCATTGAGTACTTGGCAGGTGAGCCTCTAGTGAATGTCTGTAGATTGAGTGCTTGGCAGGTTCTAGGGAACATCTGTAGATTTATTGAGTACTTGGCAGGTTAGGTTCTAGGGAACATCTGTAGATTTATTGAGTACTTGGCAGTTTCTAGGGAACATCTGTAGATTTATTGAGTACTTGGCAGGTTAGGTTCTAGGGAACATCTGTAGATTTATTGAGTACTTGGCAGGTTAGGTTCTAGGGAACATCTGTAGACTTATTGAGTACTTGGCAGGTTAGGTTCTAGGGAACATCTGTAGATTGAGTGCTTGGTAGGTTCTAGGGAACATCTGTAGATTGAGTACTTGGTAGGTTCTAGGGAACATCTGTAGATTTATTGAGTACTTGGCAGGTTAGGTTCTAGGGAACATCTGTAGATTTATTGAGTACTTGGCAGGTTAGGTGCTAGGGAACATCTGTAGATTTATTGAGTACTTGGCAGGTTCTAGGGAACATTTGCTAGGTGTACCTATTGCCTTCATTAAACATTTGCTAGGTGTACCTATTGCCTTCATTAAACATTTGCTAGGTGTACCTATTGCCTTCATTAAACATTTGCTAGGTGTACCTATTGCCTTCATTAAACATTTGCTAGGTGTACCTATTGCCTTCATTAAACATTTGCTAGGTGTACCTATTGCCTTCATTAAACATTTGCTAGGTGTACCTATTGCCTTCATTAAACATTTTCTAGGTGTACCTATTGCCTTCATTAAACATTTGCTAGGTGTACCTATTGCCTTCATTAAACATTTGCTAGGTGTACCTATTGCCTTCATTAAACATTTGCTAGGTGTACCTATTGCCTTCATTAAACATTTGCTAGGTGTACCTATTGCCTTCATTAAACATTTGCTAGGTGTACCTATTGCCTTCATTAAACATTTGCTAGGTGTACCTATTGCCTTCATTAAACATTTGCTAGGTGTACCTATTGCCTTCATTAAACATTTGCTAGGTGTACCTATTGTCTTCTTTAAACATTTGCTAGGTGTACCTATTGATCAGACCTTCATTAAACATTTGCTAGGTGTACCTATTGCCTTCATTAAACATTTGCTAGGTGTACCTATTGCCTTCATTAAACATTTGCTAGGTGTACCTATTGCCTTCATTAAACATTTGCTAGGTGTACCTATTGCCTTCATTAAACATTTGCTAGGTGTACCTATTGCCTTCATTAAACATTTGCTAGGTGTACCTATTGCCTTCATTAAACATTTGCTAGGTGTACCTATTGCCTTCATTAAACATTTGCTAGGTGTACCTATTGCCTTCATTAAACATTTGCTAGGTGTACCTATTGCCTTCATTAAACATTTGCTAGGTGTACCTATTGCCTTCATTAAACATTTGCTAGGTGTACCTATTGCCTTCATTAAACATTTGCTAGGTGTACCTATTGCCTTCATTAAACATTTGCTAGGTGTACCTATTGCCTTCATTAAACATTTGCTAGGTGTACCTATTGCCTTCATTAAACATTTGCTAGGTGTACCTATTGCCTTCATTAAACATTTGCTAGGTGTACCTATTGCCTTCATTAAACATTTGCTAGGTGTACCTATTGCCTTCATTAAACATTTGCTAGGTGTACCTATTGTCTTCTTTAAACATTTGCTAGGTGTACCTATTGATCAGACCTTCATTAAACATTTGCTAGGTGTACCTATTGCCTTCATTAAACATTTGCTAGGTGTACCTATTGCCTTCATTAAACATTTGCTAGGTGTACCTATTGCCTTCATTAAACATTTGCTAGGTGTACCTATTGCCTTCATTAAACATTTGCTAGGTGTACCTATTGCCTTCATTAAACATTTGCTAGGTGTACCTATTGCCTTCATTAAACATTTGCTAGGTGTACCTACTGCCTTCATTAAACATTTGCTAGGTGTACCTATTGCCTTCATTAAACATTTGCTAGGTGTACCTATTGTCTTCTTTAAACATTTGCTAGGTGTACCTATTGATCAGACCTTCATTAAACATTTGCTAGGTGTACCTATTGCCTTCATTAAACATTTTCTAGGTGTACCTATTGCCTTCATTAAACATTTGCTAGGTGTACCTATTGCCTTCATTAAACATTTGCTAGGTGTACCTATTGTCTTCTTTAAACATTTGCTAGGTGTACCTATTGATCAGACCTTCATTAAACATTTGCTAGGTGTACCTATTGCCTTCATTAAACATTTGCTAGGTGTACCTATTGCCTTCATTAAACATTTGCTAGGTGTACCTATTGCCTTCATTAAACATTTGCTAGGTGTACCTATTGCCTTCATTAAACATTTGCTAGGTGTACCTATTGCCTTCATTAAACATTTGCTAGGTGTACCTATTGCCTTCATTAAACATTTGCTAGGTGTACCTATTGCCTTCATTAAACATTTGCTAGGTGTACCTATTGCCTTCATTAAACATTTGCTAGGTGTACCTATTGCCTTCATTAAACATTTGCTAGGTGTACCTATTGCCTTCATTAAACATTTGCTAGGTGTACCTATTGATCACACCTTCATTAAACATTTGCTAGGTGTACCTATTGCCTTCATTAAACATTTGCTAGGTGTACCTATTGTCTTCTTTAAACATTTGCTAGGTGTACCTATTGATCAGACCTTCATTAAACATTTGCTAGGTGTACCTATTGCCTTCATTAAACATTTGCTAGGTGTACCTATTGCCTTCATTAAACATTTGCTAGGTGTACCTATTGCCTTCATTAAACATTTGCTAGGTGTACCTATTGCCTTCATTAAACATTTGCTAGGTGTACCTATTGCCTTCATTAAACATTTGCTAGGTGTACCTATTGCCTTCATTAAACATTTGCTAGGTGTACCTATTGCCTTCATTAAACATTTGCTAGGTGTACCTATTGAACACACCTTCATTAAACATTTGCTAGGTGTACCTATTGATCACACCTTCATTAAACATTTGCTAGGTGTACCTATTGCCTTCATTAAACATTTGCTAGGTGTACCTATTGCCTTCATTAAACATTTGCTAGGTGTACCTATTGCCTTCATTAAACATTTGCTAGGTGTACCTATTGATCAGACCTTCATTAAACATTTGCTAGGTTTACCTATTGCCTTCATTAAACATTTGCTAGGTGTACCTATTGCCTTCATTAAACATTTGCTAGGTGTACCTATTGCCTTCATTAAACATTTGCTAGGTGCACCTATTGCCTTCATTAAACATTTGCTAGGTGTACCTATTGCCTTCATTAAACATTTGCTAGGTGTACCTATTGCCTTCATTAAACATTTGCTAGGTGTACCTATTGCCTTCATTAAACATTTGCTAGGTGTACCTATTGCCTTCATTAAACATTTGCTAGGTGTACCTATTGCCTTCATTAAACATTTGCTAGGTGTACCTATTGCCTTCATTAAACATTTGCTAGGTGTACCTATTGCCTTCATTAAACATTTGCTAGGTGTACCTATTGCCTTCATTAAACATTTGCTAGGTGTACCTATTGCCTTCATTAAACATTTGCTAGGTGTACCTATTGATCACACCTTCATTAAACATTTGCTAGGTGTACCTATTGCCTTCATTAAACATTTGCTAGGTGTACCTATTGTCTTCTTTAAACATTTGCTAGGTGTACCTATTGATCAGACCTTCATTAAACATTTGCTAGGTGTACCTATTGCCTTCATTAAACATTTGCTAGGTGTACCTATTGCCTTCATTAAACATTTGCTAGGTGTACCTATTGCCTTCATTAAACATTTGCTAGGTGTACCTATTGCCTTCATTAAACATTTGCTAGGTGTACCTATTGCCTTCATTAAACATTTGCTAGGTGTACCTATTGCCTTCATTAAACATTTGCTAGGTGTACCTATTGCCTTCATTAAACATTTGCTAGGTGTACCTATTGAACACACCTTCATTAAACATTTGCTAGGTGTACCTATTGATCACACCTTCATTAAACATTTGCTAGGTGTACCTATTGCCTTCATTAAACATTTGCTAGGTGTACCTATTGCCTTCATTAAACATTTGCTAGGTGTACCTATTGCCTTCATTAAACATTTGCTAGGTGTACCTATTGATCAGACCTTCATTAAACATTTGCTAGGTGTACCTATTGCCTTCATTAAACATTTGCTAGGTGTACCTATTGCCTTCATTAAACATTTGCTAGGTGTACCTATTGCCTTCATTAAACATTTGCTAGGTGTACCTATTGCCTTCATTAAACATTTGCTAGGTGTACCTATTGCCTTCATTAAACATTTGCTAGGTGTACCTATTGCCTTCATTAAACATTTGCTAGGTGTACCTATTGCCTTAATTAAACATTTGCTAGGTGTACCTATTGCCTTCATTAAACATTTGCTAGGTGTACCTATTGCCTTCATTAAACATTTGCTAGGTGTACCTATTGATCACACCTTCATTAAACATTTGCTAGGTGTACCTATTGATCACGCCTTCAGCATCTTTGAGAGAGAGCCAGGAAATTGTCAAGGTTTTCACCCTGGATGTCCACAGTCCTTGGCAGTCGTCTCTTAGTTAAATATACCATCCACCAACACACCAATACACCAACACCACTATCCACCAACACACCAATACACCAACACCACTATCCACCAACACACCCATACACCAACACCACTATCCACCAACACCACTATCCACCAACACAACTATCCACCAACACCACTATTCACCAACACACCCATCCACCAACAAACCCATCCACCAATACCACTATCCACCAACACAACTATCCACCAACACCACTATTCACCAACACACCCATCCACCAACAAACCCATCCACCAATACCACTATTCACCAACAAACCCATCCACCAACACCACTATCCACCAATACCACTATCCACCAACACCACTATTCACCAACACACCAATACACCAACACCACTATCCACCAACACACCCATACACCAACACCACTATCCACCAACACCACTATCCACCAACACAACTATCCACCAATACCACTATCCACCAACACCACTATTCACCAACAAACCCATCCACCAACACCACTATCCACCAATACCACTATCCACCAACACCACTATTCACCAACACACCCATCCACCAACAAACCCATCCACCAACACCACTATCCACCAACACCACTATCCACCAACAGTAATGTTATGGTAAACTGTGATGAACAACAAGGTGATTCTGTAAATAGATAAAATAAATACATTGATAAACTTAAAGCTAGTGGCTCAGCTAACCATAAAACATTTCTGGCTTGAACACGTCCAAATTCTAGGGCTGGAAATGTAGTTCAAGCATAATGGGAGATATTGTGTGGGCATTTAAAATATTTTTGAGTAGCTGAATAATTTTGTCATTTCTTGAAAATTCTTGCAACCAGATATTATGGCCATTTGGTTTACAAACAAATATTGTGGGCATTTGGTTTACTATCAATTATTGTGGGCATTTATAATTTATTGTAATCAAATAATGTGTTCAATTTTTGTGGCCAAATTTTACTGTATGTCTTTTTAATGTTTAAAATTCTGGACATTTTGGAGGATGTTTAGTAATAGAAGGCTCCTATATTGTTACAACCTTAACTTAGTGGGTGCCTATATTGTTACAAAGATGTTTGTGGGTCCCTATTTTGTGGGTCCCTATTTTGTTAAAACCTTAACTTAGTGGGTCCCTATATTATTGCAACTTTAACTTAGTGGGTCCCTATTTTGTTACAACCATGTCTGTGGGCCCCTTATAAGTTTGTAATGATACAGGGACCCACAAGTATAAGTAATGCTTGTGGGACCCTATATGTGTGCAACCATAAGCTAGTGGGCCCCTATATTTTCTCATTGTTACCTGGACTGTTGACTGTAGGGTGTGTGATTCCACCTAGCCCTGATGGGTACCTGACTCAGGGAAAGTTGCATAGTACTGACACCACCCCTCATCTTTTGAGGCCAAGGGAAGTATACTTTGGATGTACCAAACTGGTGATATTTCATTTGAGCTGATTGTTGATGCGGATTGTAAGAAAGAGTGAGGAGAAAATATCAGGTTTAACATGCATGAATTTGATGGATAAAATGTAAATAAATTAACAATATGTGCTTTTCTTGTTTTTTATTTGGATGATGTGATTGCTGTCTAAAGTTGTGTGAAATACATAGTTGAGACACCATCAAAAGGTGACATCCATGGTGCCAGATGATAGCACAGGGTGTCATCTATTGTGCCACGTAACATCTAATCAGTTGCAGTGTCACCCAGTGCAGCACAATGGTTTCCCCTCCCCCCTCAAAAAAAATTATGTGTGTGTATTTAAGTAGGTAGTCCAAACTGAAATTAACTATTGATTGCAGACTTCTGGAGCGAGTATGTCATGAAAGAACTTGTAAGCTCTATGCCACAAATTTTATAAAAATATCTCAATAAAAATAAAAGTTATGCGATTTTTAAAACAGCAAAATTTGGTAAAAAAAAACTGATTTTCAAAAAGTGTCATTTTTGAGAACCCATATTTTCTAAACTAAATAACATAGACGTGTAGAAATTAGTAAAGTTACTTCAAAGTTTGTTATATATATGCCCAATTTTTTTCAGTCATCTAAAATGAGTCTTTCTAAGGTAAAAAAAAAAATAATTGAAAATGACAAAAAATGCGTTTGTCACTTTTATTTTCATTTTAAAAAAATTCAATTTTTTTTGTTGTTGCTTTGGACACAGAATACAGAATAAAACTATTGTGTTGGTAATATTAACAGGAAGAATGTGTTCATCATTTTCAAAAATCACATGAGTTAAAATATTATTTTTTTAAAAATGCCAGTTATCTAGTGCAGGAGAAACAGAATCAAAATTTAGTGGAGTAATGTAATGTAATCTAATAAAGACGTGATGCAGCAGTTGAGGCTACATTCAAACCTATCGGGTAGATTGCTTTGGGGGAAGAGTTTTTAAAACGACAACTGCACTTCTTTGTATGTCTTTGTTTCCATCAACCTTGATCTTGTGTAGCATCAAGAGTAAGTGATACGTTTTGGGAACTGTAGGGGGGGGGGGGGCTTGGCCTTCTTCCCTTCCCTTGTAAGGAAATGTCTCCAGCTATGGAATAAATAATTTATTTAGTGATTAGTAAAATATACTTAAATTTACTACTAGCCTATTGTGTAGGCCCACTATTTGTCCTATGATTGTAGCTGGAAACATGAAAAAGCCTGAAAACACCTTTTTGTTAAGAGTAATCTATACTGGATAGTATATTTTTAATATTAATTCTATTGAAAAAAATATTCGTTGCTTGTGCCACAATGGTTGAGATATCCAATGATGAAGGTGCCATACTGTGGTTCTCAACATCCTATAGGACAACTTAACTATCCTTCATTGTTACTAGATCTATATGCATATAAAATAAATAAATAATGAAAAATACTACTAGTACTACTTACACTTACAACTAATATAACCTTTAAAACTAAATCACAACATGTACAATCTTAATAAATTGCACCAGTAGCGTACGCAGGGGGGGGGGGGAGCAGGGGGAGCGGCCGCTCCCCCTCTGGCCATTTTCAGCAAAGTGGCGCCTTTTTGGAAACTTTTTAAACTCAAAGCTTTAAACAATGATATTTGTTAAAAAAATATTTTTGGTCGGCACATCTATGTAAATCACAAGATTCCTTTTCATGCAGCAATTAAGCATTATTGTACTAGGATAGTAGTGTCTACGTTTACAACACATATTCACAGCTACATCAGTTTGCCATTCTAAAAATAACCATTACGATGCATTGCAATGTTTAAGTTTAAGAAACCTCTACGGTAGTACCACTTGGCAATAGGGGTGTTAAGTTTAAGGCAACTGTATAATGTATTTGCTTACGAATAATTGAATTAGAAAATGTTATACATAAAACTTCACACATACTTACTTTTTATATATACAGTTTGAATCGTGTGATTAATTTTTTTAAAAATTACAATACAGAAACAAATACAACTGATGTGGTACCTCTATTTAAATTTACTTATGAGCAAACTGCGTAGTGGGGGGGGGGGGGGGAAATTTTGACAAGATCAACAACGTCATCACTATAAAGTAGTAGTATTCTTACAGTTTGGGCGATAGTGATTACGTTTACAAATTATATGAAACAGTTACAAACCCCTCCACCATGGACCCCTCTGTAAAAAAAAATATTGTCATAATACCACTGCTACTTATTTAAATCTATTTCTGTAATATATATTTGTGTAATATATATTTGTGTAATATATATGTATGCTTAGAACAGTCATCTAAAAACTATGTTCACTCTGAGTTGGTTATCTCCCCCCCCCCCCCCCCACACACACACCTCACCACCACAATTGTGTAGAGCGACATTAATGTCACACCTAGGTATACACTGGGTTGGATAATTGACCTAAAGTGAAAGGACAGTGGTGAATGAAGTTGAACCCACCCCCAACCCACCCCGTAATGATGTACCAGAAAATTAGCTTTTTAAATGTAAAACTCTGTGAATATTGTTTTTGCAATTACCAGTAAAAAGGTGTGTGATCAATACAGTGATCTAACCCATGCCTATCACTATGTTAAAAAATGATCTTTAAAGAACACAAAGAAGCAGTAGTTAATTAAAAATATATGATTTGAACTAAAAAACCGATATTCAGTTAAGTGTAGGCTGTTATTCCGAATGTGTTTCTATTATATCGAAAAGCGTGGTTTTATACCAACTCTGATTGTAAAAACTTTCATTATGCTGTGATACTTTACCATTTATGATGATGATATATTAAATTCTGATTATAGACAAAAACATTTTGTAAACACGAATAGTATTAAACAGTTCATTATATTCTTTAGTAATTATTTATTTGTTTTGATATTTATAATTAAATGTGTAGATATATACATATTTATATTAAGAGAGTGATTATTTCCCCTATTTCACTTGTCTTAAATAATTTCCCAGGAATTATTATGTAAGAATTTTTTTTACAAGAATTACAAAAAAGATTGTGTTACGTTCATTGTTTTTGGTTGTAGTGTGTGTATACATTTTTTTTTTTTTAGATTGATACAATTTTTTTTTTTGTCGGCCTACATTGTGTGTTTTTTCTTATTTCTTCAGAGTGCTACTTTCAATTATTTTACATCATAGCAAAGTAATGACATACAGCTAGTAATTATATATATATATATATATATATATATATATATATATATATATATATATATATATATATATATATAAATATAATACACGTATATAGAACGTGTTAAAAATTCGGCGCCTTTTTTTTTGCTCTTTTCGCTCCCCCTACAACGAAAACCTGGTTACGCCTCTGAATTGCACCACCATCTAAAAATTAATCTGGTACATTTTATTAAGGAGGCTGGCGCAGACCATTTCACATAGTCCTTAAAACTTAGTGTCTTTTATTATAAACAAATTGATAAAAATGTATAGATATTATAATTATAAATTTCTTTTGTTTCATTAATATGTTATAAGTATTTAATCTTCGTTCTCTGTAAATAATTGAGTTCGTCCACATAGTAACCAGGATTGTCTGGTGGCCATTTTGAATTTGTCGATTCATAATTTTGACGTGATAGTCCAGATAAACTGTAGTAATACGACCCTATCATTAACCCCATTCGATAGATTTTAAAGAATGAGTAAACACTAGCATCTAATAGTTAAGTGCATCCATATTTTAAATCCCTAGAATGTCCTGAATTAAATAGCTTCACGTCTAAACACACCCTGTGTACAAGCGTAGTTCACACGCTAAAAACGTGGACTAGTATATTAGCGTTCATATTTACTATTTACATTAATAACGTGTACTAATAAAACAAAACTGACATTCAAACTTAAAATTCATTGATTAAAATGGAAGTGAAACTTTAAAAATGATACTTACAACTTGTTTGAAGGCAATAGCAAGGGTAAAATCCGTTGGGCATCATCGGTCGTCAACCTTTAAAACCGTTCGGCGAGCTACTCACCCGGGGCTGAAAGTTGACTCGAGGGTTATATGCTTATTGAGGGCACGGCTTCGCGACCGTAAATCAGAAATACTTGAATTTACAACATAAAGTAGTTATAAAAGTGAACTTTACATCGGTGTAAAAATTGAAACAGAATTAGTTTGTTTTTGTGTATATATCTTCATTTAAAGTTTAAAAACTGATTTTTTAAAATGAAATAAGCTAGTTATTTTTTCAATGTATATACACAAACGATAGACTAGAATTCGCTCTTTAAAATGACATTAAGATTATGATTCTACGATGCTTCTTCGCGAAGCCGCAGCCAAATGAAACTGTGGGGTCGATCGGTACTCGCAAAACGGTAAAATTTGTTGACGTAACTGATACTTTTCAAACAAATATAAAACACATTCAAACATGTGTTACAGATATAAAAATACCAGATTACGACAGATAAAGACTTAAACTTTATTGACATATAATTTTTATTCTTATAGGACAACTAGAAGTAGTGAATTTTTGTTTTTGAAAACCGCAAAAACTGACCCTAAAACGCACTTTTTCGCCAGTTTGGACTACCTAATTTAAGTATATGGTTTTTGTTTGTTTTTTATTTACATTTTTTTGAAACTACATGCTTTTTGGGCTGACCTTCGTCCTCTTTTTTACATTCTCGTGTACAAAGTATAGAGAAAGTATTGTATTGTGCCAAAAGAAAAAAATCCAGATTTACGTTTTACACCTCCCTGAGTCGGAAAAAAAGTTTTGCAATGGACATTTACACGATTTTGCTTCCGCGTCACGTGATCCGGAGAGCCATTTTGTAAACACGGCCTGTGCCCGCTGTCTTTCCATTGTCACATAGCCGATGTTTTAAAACTATTTCCCGATATTTTCTATTACTCAAAGTTATTGTTAACATTGTGCGTCTGTGTTTCGGTAAACACGATAACTTGAGTACCGTTACAGCTACATTGATGAAATTTCATATATAAGTATTATATCAAATTTATGTATATGTTACGGTCAAAGCCCGAAGTCGGCCAATGCTAGGATTGGCCGGCCAATCCGCGCATTGGCCAATATCGCCTCCCATAG